CCCCCGCCAGTCTCCGGCCCCTCACCTCCCCCCGCCAGCGCTGGACCGCGCCTGGACGAGCGTCGGCCGGCCGGACGTGATGCCACGGCCCGGGGGGAGGGAGCCAAGTGCTCCGCCGCCCGGGGACCTAGGCCACTGGCCGCCGCGGCCGCCGCGGCCGCCACCCCCGGGGGCCAGAGCGCTCTCCCAGCGGAGATAGTACGACGAATCTCGTTTTCTTCGGCGACTGCCCCCGGCCCGGGGCGCCTTTGGCGCGCCGGGGGTGGGCGGGAAAGCGCGGGCGATCCTCCCGCCCTTTGACGCCGGGCGGGTGAGTGGCCCGGCGCCCCGCAGGGCCGTGTCCCGTCCGATTGTTCCGATCGCCGCCCCCCCCCACCCGCCCCCCCTGGTGCCCTCTCCGCGCCCCGGGGCCGTGGGCTTGGGGGGGATGTGCATGGGGGGTGAGGCCGAGAGGGGCCGCCTCGGTCTGGCCTTCGCCGGGGCCGTGTCCCACACTGGAGGACAAGCGCGCGCGCGCGCGCGCGCGCGCGCGGAGATCTCTCAACGCCTCCCCGATCGGCTGGCGCCCGGGGGCGGCGTAACCGCCGCGGCGAGCCGGTCGCGTTGGAGGGGCTGCGCGCCGGGCGCGCGCCGTCTTGTCCCCGCCCCTCCGCCCCCCCTCCCCTCCGAGGGGGGCCGGGGGTCGAGGAATCGGGCCAATGCGGAGCTGGCTCGCGCGCTGCCCAGAAGCGCGTGCACCTCGCGCCGAACATGCCCACCGTGTCCGGCCCCCTGCCCCGCTCTTGGGGCGTGCGCAAGTCCGCCTCCCGCCCCGACACCGGCCGCCGCATACGCGCCAGCCCACGCATGCATCCAGGGCATTGGGGCTCCGTCGCGGAGGGCTCGGCCAAAGTCGTGCCTCAGGTCGCCTCCCTCGGCAGGAGCCCATGAGGGCCGGCACAGGCGCGGCGGAGATCTCGGCCGGCGTACACACTCCCTCGCAGGTGGGGGCCCGGGCGGCCGCACGCACCCCCGGCGGGGGATTAAGCGAAATTGACCCGCGCGCCCTAGACCAAGAGCCCCCCGGTCGGCCCCCCCCCCCCCCCTCCCCGGCCGTTTGCCGACTCCCGCGCGCTCTTCCCCGCAGGGGCTCGGTCTGGGGAAAAAAAAATAAAATACAATAACCCACGCCCCATGAGACCAAGTCGACCTGCCCCCGGCATCGGCCGGCCCGAGGGTGCGGACAGACGGATGGAATGGCGAGGTGCGCGTGCCGGGGTGGGGCGGGGGGGCGCAGCCCGGCCAGCATGCGTGTGTGTGTGTGTGTGTGTGTGGGCGTGAATCGAGTGCCCCCAGCCCTCCACACCTGAGGACCCGGGGCGCCGCTCACTTCCCAGGCTTGACCCCCCCCCCCCCCTCCCCCTCCCCTGCCTGCCGGGCGATGTTCCGGCCCGCCGGGCCTGCCTCCGCGTCGTAGCCGGACCCGACACCCGGCGCGCTGTATTCAAGCCCTGAGAGGGACCATCGCCAAAGCCTGCTCCTGCCCGAGCCCGCCGCATGTACCTTCATCCTCCCTGCCCCTCCCTCCCCCCTCTTCTTGCTGTCCCTCCCCTCCCCCGACTGGAGTCGATTCCTCCCGTCCCAGGGCCATCGTCCTGCCCTCCCCCCCCCTCCCCCCCCCTCCACCAACACCCTCCCCTTCGCCTCCGCTTGTCGGTGAAGTAGATTGCTTGCACGGCTCCTCCCCTGGTCGGTCTCCCGCGCGCCGCTCCAACTACATAGGCCTCCCGTCCTTTCCTTGCCCTTCCCCTCCCCCTGGTGATCCAACCGAAAACGTCTTCATCCTCCTGCCCCCGCCTGCTTCCCTCTGACGGGCCCGCGCTTTTCACAAAGCCTCGCCGCGACCACCGCCCCTACCCCCAGGTCCCGGGCTGTAGCCATCCTGCCGGCGTGCGCCCCCGCAAGCCGAGCCCCCCTTCTTCCTACTATTTCTTAAACCAGACTTCCAAGCGAGCGGGGTGGGCGGGCGGGCGATCGTTTTCAGTGCTCTGTGTTTGCTCCAAGGTTCCCTCGGTGTAAACACTCACAGAGTTGCGTGACAACGCTCGCACGCTCGCTTCACCCCTCCTTCTGTCTTCCTCCCACATATCCCGTACGAGCATCCCTCTCCGGCCCATTCGCTGCCACAGCGCCAACTTGCTGCCCCCCCCCCCCTGGCCTCCTCCGCGCTTCGTTGCACCTTTCTGCCTCTCGCCTCGGCTCTTTCCTCCTCCCCGCCCCGCCCTTCCGCTCTCTCTCTCTCTCTCTCTCTCTCGTGCCCTCTTCGCATGACACTGCCTCTCCCGTGCCCTTCTCCCCTGTGCTTGACTAACCTCCTCCCTGCCTGCAGACAATCATTCCTCCCTCCCTTCCCCCCCCCCTCTCTCTCTCTCTCTCCCCCCTTCCCCTCCCAACTGAGTGCACACAGAGCGCATATCGCTGAGCCCTCTTCCCCCCTCTTGGTAAGGTGATCCATTTCACCTTGTCTTTGTATCATACCAGAAGGATTTAGCTGCCTTCCCCCCCCCCCCCCCCCCCCCACCATCCACTCGCGGATTCGATCAGTTCCCAGAATCCGTCACTCTCCACCCTCCTCCACTCCATCCTCCCCTTGGTCTTCCCTCCGCCCCGTGTCTAGCCAGCCGTCCGTGACCTGATGGCCCCATTGCTGGACTCCGCGAGCATCAGTAGCCCGGTGGCAGCGGCCGCAGCCGCCGCCGCCGCGGCCGCGGCCGCGGCCTCTTCCGTCTCCCTGGAGCAGATCCACCTGGCGGCCACGGTAGCCGCTTCGGCGACCAATGCCGGCGATCATGGGCCCCCCTCGGCCGGCTTCGCCGGGGGAATGGCCGATCGTGGTTCGCCGGCGGTGACCGCCGGCTCGCCGGCCGGCCCCGGCCCCTCTTCCATCCTGCCGTCTGGCTCGCCCAAGAATGTCGCCGGGCTGGGGGCCGGTGGATCGGCCTCGCCAGCCGCCCCGTCCCCCATCGGTCCGGGTGCCACCCCGGGTCCGGGCGACACCGTTGACCGCCTGGCCGCCCTGTCGGCATCGTCGCCCTCCGCGGCCAAGACCGGCAAGCCGGGCTTCGGGGCGGCTGGCACCCCGGCCGATGCCCTGGCCGATGCCAACCCCCTGTCCTTGCTTCTGTATGCGACCAATGCCCTGCGCCAGTTGGCTCCCTCTCGGACTCTCTCCAGTCTGGAGATCGGAGCCATCCTCTCGGCTGCCGGTGTCACCTCCGACGTCGTGACTGCCGTCACCCAGGGGCTTGGCCGACTGGTGGGATCCAACAGTGCTGGTATGCTGACACACTTGCTCCTCGGCCTTTTTTCCCCCTTCCTTTTGTTCTTCTCCCCCCCCCCAGCTTGTCGATCCTCCGATCGCGCATTCTCACCCACCCGCTGTCTGTCCACCCTTTGCGGCCTTTCTCCCACCGCTCGGCCGTGTCCTCGCGCAGATGTCAACCCCCAAGCCTCGACCATCCTCCCGGCTCTGGTGGGCCAGCTCCAGCACCAGGTTGGCACTCCGGGCTTCGGTGCGGCCGGGGCCTTCCACGGCACTGCCGGGCACCAGGCCGCCAATCTTGGCTTCCCGGCGGGTGCCGGCACGGCCGGCACCGTCGGCCACCAAGGCAACAACTCCCTCATCCTTCCCCTCATCCAGGGGGGGTACCTGCTATCCGGCGGGGCGGGGGCCCAGCGCCCCGGCGGCCTGCACTTTGCCGGGTCCGGGAGCAATGCGGCGGCGGCGGCGGCTGCGGCGGCGGCTGCCGCCCAGCTCAAGCTCCATGGCATGGATCCCGCGCAGACGGCCCAGCTGAGCGGCCTCATGGGCGGCGGGGCCATGGGCGCCACCGGTGCCGGGTCCTTCGGCGCCAATGCCGGGATGCCCTTCTTCAATGCCCCTGGCGGCTTCGGCACCGGGGACCTCGGCGCCGCCGGCGATGCCCCGATGATGGGGCTCGACTCGTCCGGACCCAATGTCGGGCGCCTGGGGGGTACGGGGTACTTCGCGCAGTCCGGCGCCGGGGCCACCGGGTCCCAGGGCGTGGAGTCTCCCTTCCCGGCGAGCGTCATTTCGGCCATCGCATCGGCCTACTCCTCGGGGACGGGCGCGGCGACCGGGGCCGGCGGCCTGCTCAATGCTGGCGGTCACCATATGGGCGTCGGCGCTCGGCCGCACTCGCAGCATCCGCATGTGCAGCAGCACTCGCACCATGCCGCGGCCCTGGGCTTTGTCCCGGGGGTCGGCCACCATCACCCTCACCCGGTGCCCCATGCCTCCGATCACATGGATCCCGCGTTGGATAGTGGTATGTACCATCAATGTGCGTGCTCCCGTCTTTGTCTTCCCCCCGGCCTCCTCCCCCCCCCCCACCCCCCCCCCGCCCCCCGTCTGTGGGTCTCTTCATCGGCATGCCCTCGCCC